CCCTAACCATATTTTCCCCCCCCGCCCTTCATATAAATAAACATTACTTTTTGTTGTTGGTAAAGCTTAAAGTACACACCAGTGGGAGCCTGACATATGAAACGAAGTCTGCTCTCACATACGCCATCGTTCCAGTGATTTTGTTTATCTGACACAAGCTCGGCACAGTTTTCGTTTCCACCTGAGTTATTCGGCTCTCCGGGAGTCCAGTAAGTGAAAGGTGTCTGCAAATATGATGAAAAGAGACCAAAAAAATATTATTAACAACAAAGTTCTAAATTTATATAAAATTATTAACAACAAAACTCCTAATTCATATAAAATTGTTAACAACATTCTTAATTCCTATAAGATTATTAGCAACAAGAAAGGGGGTGAAAGGAGACATGTTAGAAAAGAAACATTTTCCGTTGCCGTCAGGTTTCGAACCCGGTACCTATTGAATGAGACGCAAACACTGTACCTCCAGACCACAAGAGCCCACCTCCCGTATGACTGCACATTTAACTGCTTCAAAGAGCCTTTATGGGGAACATGCGGTTGTTGTTGGGGGGGGTTTTTTTTTGGGGGGGGGGGGGTTATGCGATGAAATAGTAGTAGGAGAGGCTGAGGAGGCTAAAAAGGAAGCTTCATAGAGACTAAATTTGCCGATAAGCCAAGACATCGTTTTGGAAATGTGGAAACTTCTGCGAAGAAATACCGTGAAAGCGAGCGTTTGTTCATTGCCCTCTTTTGTGAGTGTGCATTCCTCAAGTAGACTTTTACCAACAACTTCAAAGGTAGAACGTTTGCTAGTGTTGTTACCATTATCCTGGAGCCTAGAATACGAGCTGACAAGAAAAAGGTTCGCTCCAAGAAATGTTAATAACTTTCTTGTATATGACTCAGTTGAAATCAAAATTAACCGAAAGTTAGACTATACATCAGGATTATTTTTTTGTTTTTTTTAAATCAGTTGCTGTTGAACAACGGAAAGTTAATAAAGCAATTCATCCCTGTAAACTTGCTTCTCCATTCAGATCAGCAAACAAAATCTCCTATATCGCCTTGTGCATTATTTTGCTCGGGAATACGGGATAGATATCTGCCACAAACATACTTTTCCAAGCCAAAAGTCCATTTTGCAATGGGCTACAAATTTTGAAAGATTTTGGTTCATAGAAAGTAAGAAATTGAATTCTAAGCCCCGAGTAACACATGGAAGGCAGCCTGTAAGAATAACGCACTCTTGAAATGGTTAAGGTGGTCCGTGATTGGATTACTTCTGACCAATACCTTGTCATCTTATCTTGTTTCTTGGGTAGCTTTGGACTAGGATTTGTGATTATGAAGGCAGAAAGAACCAGCACTCCCAGGACGATAGGGCTGCTCCTCGTGACGCCAGAGCTGTTCTGGGCAAGGCCAATAACCATTATGTTTACAGGACAGCCTGTCCGACTGAGCACAATTGAACCCCAAAAGATCCGGACCTGAGTCCATCGGACTTTCACCATTAGGGGTGTTTGAAGGACACAATGAGTAGGAAAAACCTTCGAAAGCATCCAAGACTTGAGAGAAACCATCACGGAGGGCATGGTAGAGATTTTCCGCAAGCAGTGTCAACGCCTGATTGTCAATTTCACTCAACGTGTCAGAATGTTTTTTTCCTCGAAAGTGGGGGGTACCTGGAAGATATCTTGTAGCTTTGAGTCAGTCATATTCTAACATTATTAATATATAATAAATCCGGATGAATGTTCCACGTTTCTGCAAATGTTGGTGTGTTCACTTTTATACATAACGGTTTTATTGGCGTTCTGTTGGACAACCTTTTTTCTGTCCACCTGGTACATTAGGAATTATGTATACTGTTTGCTGCCGTGTTGTATTTCCACACTAAGAATAGAGTGTACTATAATATATTCTAAAGGACTTACCTTCACATCTTCATTGAGCCACTGAAACACACATCAATATATTATATAACCGTGATCTGTTTCCAAACTAAAAATCGAGTGTACTATAACAGATTCTAAAGGACATACCTTCACATCTTCATTGAGCCATTGAAACACACATCAATATAATTTATATAACCGTGATCTGTTTCCAAACTAAGAATCGAGTGTACTATAACAGATTCTAAAGGGCATACCTTCACATCTTCATTGAGCCATTGAAACACACATCAATATAATTTATATAACCGTGATCTGTTTCCAAACTAAGAATCGAGTGTACTATAACAGATTCTAAAGGACATACCTTCACATCATCATCGAGCCATTGAAACACGTTTTCTTTATGTCGATCGTGCAATCCAATCCAATACGTCGCCTTCTGCTTGTTCACCAAACCTGGAAGATAAACAGGAAGGCAACCACACGTTTAGATGAACATGATGAATAAATAGATAGGTAAATAGGTGATTATAAACATTGATAGGCAGGTCGATAGGTAGACAGACCGAGCAATGGAAGAATATGCATATCATATACGCGCGCACACACACACACACACACACTCGTACACACACATTTACACACATGCACACACATGCACACACACTTACACACACACACTTACACACACGTACACACACACTTACACACACATACACACACAAATACACACACACACACACATACACCCCCACGCACACACGCAAACACCACACATACACGCACGCACACACACTTACACACACTCACACACACACACACACACACACACACACACACACACATCCCTCTCC